TCCAGTTCCCCCCTCTCGATTTTTTTTCAATCTCTGTGAAGCCTGAAGTCAACTAAAGGGCAAATGATAACCATTCTGTGAAGCCTGAAGTCAGCTAAACGGCTTATGATAACTATAGCCTGAAGTCAACTAAAGGGCTAATGATAACTACCAAAACGCCTGCCATTTGAAATAAATAACGAATTTACCGGTTTTACTGGCAAACTTTTCAGTTAGGTTTGAAGCATCATATTCATCCAACTCATTTTGCAAAGGCGATATTAATTTAATCAAAAAATCGATATGCATTAGCTAAGTGGAGTTGTTATCATTGTGAAATTTAAGATTTTGTCAATTTTTCGATAAAGACTGTTCGACTGTTTGGCAGTCTAATACTTATAATACACCTCATGTGAATTTCCATTAAGTCGAGCTCATTTCGTTATCTATCAAATTAGTATTTTAGAAAAAATGGTAGACAGAAACTCTAATTTTCAAACAGAATTAGAAATGCTTTCTTATAGTCATTTTGGGCTAATAGGTTGGGTTAGGAATCCCTTCCGTTGAGAAACTTCAATCTCATCTCATCTTTCATTGACAAGATTTGATTGAAATGTCATCTCCTCTAAATGAGGATAGCTTCGGAGACGTATATGTTAATTGGCTATTAAAAACCACCCAATATGACATTCATCAATACTTCTTTTATAATTTATGCAACTCTCCAAAACGTAAATGCATTCGTATGCTCAATCAGTGTTGAACATTTCGGTTGTGAAGACTTCAAGTTGCCTATGCCTTCAAGTATTATATCTCATCTTCAAAAATGGTTAGTTAATATTTATTTATATCAAATGGTAAACGTTTTGATAGTTATCATTAGCCCCTTAGTTGACTTCGGGGCTTCACAGAGAGTAGAAGGAACATCATAGGTGTAAATGAGACAGACAGACAGATACAAAGGCATAAAAAGGTAAAATGAGTACTGTGAAAGGGGTCGAATATGACAATAGTCGAGCCATAGTAGTTTGAAGTCAGAAGTCAACTGCCAGTCAATAGACTTTTTGCCGTGGTGCACCTCGTGGATGTAGGTCTATTGCACACCCCTAGTTAATATTTAAGTGATCTATTTACTATATATATTGAAATGACAGTTCAAAGTGGCAATTCAGTGCTCCACCTGAAAACCGGTGTGTCAAGCGATGAACCGTGGGCCAAATGACATGGGCTTAAACAGACTAAATCACATAAAAAATACCGATGCGTTCTCCATGCTGAGTCACCTTCCTTCGCACAATTGGCTCACTTCCAAAGTATAAAAGCCTTTCTCAAGTCTTCTTCTTCACCTCTTACTCTATCCCACGGAGATTCTCATTGTATTTAATTTGGCTCTGCAACAAACGGTCTCGCCTATATCCACCTTGCTGTGTTTGACGAAGATCATAAGGACGTAGAAAAGTGGGAAATGGGCCAGAATTCGCTAGGTATGGCAAAATAAAAAACGAAAAGTTTAATTAGGAAATTATTCGTTATTTCACGGAATTTGCATTGAAAAGAGTTTGAAACAGTTCAGTTACTTCGGTCTCGTACAATATTTCACATCGTGTCCATTATGGGAGCTGAGCTAACACAGTCCCAAATTCAAGTCAAGCTACAAGCTAAAAATAGGCTTATAACAACCACCCACTTGAACAATAGGATGACCTTGCGAAATACTATGGCACTTTATAGTCTCCAATCAAAATCAATAGTTCGTTCACTACTTTTATCAATCAAAAATGACTTTTCTTTTTAAATAACATTAGGCTAAAACTCAGTTCAAGGTTATGGCAACAATATTTAGTAAACTGGCTTTTTCGGTCTTGAATTCAATTAAAATTTAGATTTCAGGTTTTAATGCATAGATTTGTATTATTGGTAGACAAAACTTAAACAATTTACAGGCTTGTTTGGTGAAGCCTCTCTCTCACCTTGAGGGTTATAGACCTATTCGTCAATAGTACCTGGGGAAATTTTTCGTCCATTAAACAAGGCTAACTGGAGGTGAACTCCGGTTAACAAAATAAAAAAACCGATTAATTCTGTCACACTCACAAATCCCACTTGTAAATTCATCCAGAGAAATTGTGTGAGCAGGTTGTGCACGAAGGTATATCTACGTAAGACACAAATTTTGAATGAATAATCATGATGATAGTGTGTGCCACTACTTAATCGATTCACAATTCAATTACTTATTTATGTGAAATGGGTATTGCTATAACTCTTAGCCTTCAGAATAAAAATTAGGAACATTTTCTATTTTGTTAAATATTTATTCATTTATACTAAATGGAAGGCGTTTTGATAGTTATCATTAGTCCTTCAGTTGACTTCGGGCTTCACAGAGGAAAAGAATGTCAAAGTTACAAAAATTTGAGATGGGGGTTGGAATAGGAAAGTGCTTTAAAGATGTTAAAGAGGCTAACACAAGGGTAGAGAAAAAGGTAAGGTGAGTACTGTGTAAGTGGTGGAATCGACATACACTGGGGTGATGGTAGTTTGAAGCGAGAAGTCAACTGCCGGTTTATTGACATTTTTAGTCCTTCAGTTGACTTCAGACTTCACAGGGAGGAAGGAACATCAAAGTGAAAAAAAATTCGAGATGGAGGGAGGTGAACAGAAGAGTGTTTCAAAGGTGTAAAAGAGGCAGAAAGACGCAAAGGTAGAGGGAAAAGGTGAGATGAGTAATGTGGAAGTAGACGAATATGACATACAATGAGGTGATGGTAGTTTGAAGTCAGAAGTCAACCGCCAGTTAATGAACCTTTTAGCCATATGGTTATACGTTGCCCAGTGTGCACCACGTGGAGGTAAGTCTATTACACACCCCATTTTGTTAAATATAATTAATTCCTATTATGCTCAGCCATAATAACATCGTGCAAACTCCCTCCTTTTTTATGAACACTATAAAGTTTAAAGCTTCAAGTCTTCCAGATCTGGCATTGCCTAAAATCAGTTCAAAATTTAAATTCTTCAGGAGGGAATGAGCTAGTAGCTGGTGAGTATGCAGGTATGGGGATGTATGTTTTGTGCCTCACTTCCCATTGGACCATCCAGGACATCCCCTGAACAATAATTTAAAGGAAGGTACGAAAAAAGAATACAAGCATTTTAGCAACTTGAATGGTCAATATGATGATGGTGGTGATGATGATGATATGATATGATATTCTTTTAAAAATCTCAGTCTTTTTCCCATGAAGGATTTTTCATGGCATCCAATTTGATGGGAGCAATAATCAAACTAATTAACGTGAAATGGCCGAAATGGTTATTAGCATAGATGGATATTTACAAGAGAAAATATTTTGCTTGCCAAATTGGTTTATTGCATGACAATTCAGTCAATATAATAATTTTATAAATTGAAATGTTTTAATAAGGTAGCGGTTAACATTTCACCTATCAAGTCAGAGCTAAATCTCCTTGATCTTATTATTTGCTCATCTAAAATTGAGATTAGTCATTCAAACAAGTTCCAACTGACAAGCAAATCATTTAAGTAGTATCCTAACATTTTTCATTGGAAAATAAACAATCAAACCCTGTTTCCATGCCAACAACTCGAAATGTCGAAGCTTGTCGATTTCAAAACAAATAGATTTTGGAACGATATTAACTTTTTTATTATCATTTGAAATATGAAAAATGCCAAATTCGCTTTGGTTGCCCATTCCTAGTTTGCATGCAGTTGTAATTATCCCGACTAAATGAAACTATCAGATAGTACTAATGGCAGTGCTTTGTTCGGGAATAAAGAATTCGTAGAACATTTCTGTTAAAATGATATTCACTGCCATCAGGAAGTACTAGTATATCTTCACTTCTCCGACTACCTGAATCTATATTTCTTAGTAAACTCTTTATTCCGTATATATATATATATATATATATATATATATATATATATTTCATTATTGGATTCCACTTTATTGGAAATAAAATTTATCTCATTAAAATTTACTGAGGACATCGTAATTTAATTAGTAGTGTAGAATTTCAGAAATTGAGCACTTCTCAATGAAGAAACATTGCTCAAGTTAAGTGCGAAAAAATCTAATGAGATTTGACTGTTCATTTCTTAACCTTATTACCCAGGATAACCACTTCCTCCCGACTAACTCAGATTTGTCAAATTACCAAAGCTAGTGCGTTCAAGGTAAAAAGTCTATTAACTGGCAGTTAACTTCTCACTTCAAACTACCATCATCTCACTATATGTCATATTCGACTACTTCCATAGTACTCACCTCACCTTTTTTCTGCCTGTCTCTTTTACATCTGTGAACCACTCTTCTGTCCCCCCTCCCCTCTCGACTTTTTTCAATTTGATGTACCTTCCTCTCTGTGAAGCCTGAAGTCAACTAAAGGGCTAATGATAACCATCAAGACGCCTGCCATTTGATATAATAATAATTATTATACCAGGGGTGTGTGATAGACTTACCTCCACGTGGTGCACCCTGGGCAGCATATACTCGTACGGCAAAAAAGTCTATAAACCGGTAGTTGACTTCTGACCCCACTGTATGTCATATTCCACCACTTCCACAGTACTCACATCACCTTTTTTCTAAGTTTTCTATCTTCGTCTTTGAACCACTCTTCTGTTCCCCTCCCCCCAACCAACTCGACCTGATGTTCCTTCCTCTCTGTGAAGCCTGAAGTCAACTAAATGGCTAATGGTAACCATCAAAACGCCTGCCATTTGATATAAATAAATTATTATACCAAATGACAGGTTTCAAGATATTTATCATTAGCCTCTTAGTTGACCCCGGCTTTCGCATGGGAGGGGGAGGAACATATATGGGCTTTAGGAGAGTAAACAGCAGTTCATTAATTAACTTCTGGCTTCCCAGTGTCTCTGGGTATCTGTCGTTCTCTTTATGGCTAGACACCGAATCATTGTGTCTACCATTTCCACCTGTAGGTCACATAGGGGTATGATTGTTGGGCGTATACTCCCAGAGGGCCTAAATAAGTTTTCGGAAGTACAAGAATTGAGGGTCACCAATTGTTAAAGTCACCAAACTGAAGGAGCCAATGAACTTGAAACGAGTTGTTGGAGGCAAGACTAAAGCAAACAGCGGAAGGCAAACAATTGTTGCACGAAATACAATGCAAGCATTTGTATGGATCGACCCAAAATCAATAAATACCACAAGGAAAAGGTCGAGGAGAAGGGGTGTGTATGCGTGCGTGCATAGAAATCCAAAGACAGGTAGCAAGTTATTTTTGGAAGGACATGTGGGAGGGTATGAACATAGACGCGGTATTGAATGCAACGAGGCAGTTATTGAGAAAGGCGAGAAGTAAGAACCTCGTCTACACATGACAGATTTGGGTTTAATCAAGGAGTTATGCGGACATTTGTTACAACTTTGCGGATTTTGCGGATAATGTGATTGAAAATTATTCCTGTAATATGTAATATTATGTAATATGTAATCTACTTCGCTCTAGTAACAGTGAAGTTTTTTGCTATTAAAGAACCTAGATTGCTATCAGCCAAACAGATCCAAAATTCAATTTGTTGGCACTGAAAGAAATTCATGTTTCTATGAGGTTAAATAACTGTTTCCATCACATGTCTGTCTTATCAACTAATAACTGCGTCTCATGGTGACTTTTCGCTAAGTTAGAGACACATTAAAATAAGCAAATTGGATCGACATTCATTTGACAAATTGGAGATGTTTTAAACAGACGTTGTTATTTTAATTAAAGAACTTCGTTAAAGACGCCAGCTGCTCTAGAGTCTAGACAGGGCTGTTGACTAGACGCGCAAATATTAATAAGCTCAAGAAAGTCCTGATTTAAGAAATATAAATTTTGTGAATGTCATGAAACGAGCTCAACATATTTTTAAACCCGAAAACAGTAACTCATTTTAAAATAAGATATAACTTTATTTTAATTCTACGAAAAATCTACACAATCGACCGTCTTCCAAAGTGATTAGTTTGTAGCGGATTGCTACGCTAATAAAGCCTGACTGACTCAGAAATCTCTATGGCAGATTCTCATACATCTAGCTAGACTCCCAGAACTAGCCAAACTATAGCCCAGCTATAAAGGAAACAGACGTGTAGCACGAAGTACGTTTATTCAGCACGGGTATTGCGGATAAAGTGTAATGCAGGAAGCTTAATCATGATCAGGATGGCAGATTAGGTTAGACAAACAGAGGTTAATGATTGGTCACTGTTTGTAAGGTCGCACCTCCCATTTCTGGCGTGCAAGCATGCGATGACGTGCCCCACAAAACTCATATCGGGATTTTACTAGGGTTACTCATTTAAATCGACTTGCACATCTATCCCTATTCACAATTTAAGCCTTATTTATTTCGAATTGTAGGCACATGATAATAAGCAGATGTGATTTTGCATCAGTCCCATGTTTTCTCTCAAAAACGACAACCGGACAAAAAATGATGCAGTAGTATTATATAATGCAAACACCTCCGAAATTGACCCTGCTTCATGCAGCTCGTTGGAACTTCAGATTTCCAAAGCTTTATGCAATTGGTTAAAACACGGAAACGCACACTGCTAAAAAGCTAGTTATACTATTTTGGATGATAATTAGAGCTCCACTCTGATCTAGCTTCGATAGACCCAAAATTATCACATCCACCGCAAACATTCCACTTAATTTTGTGCGAAATCACAAATACGTAAGATAAATTGGGACATCAAAAGCAAAAGAGAAATATCATTATTACTTGATGCCAACTAAGTAGAAACTTATATTTCATCGTGCATTAGAGCAGAATGGACAAAATCTTAGACAGAGGAAATAAAAGGGAACTGGACTGCAAACGTTAATTATTAAAAAAAGCAAAACATGGGAAAAATCGATATAATATGGACAAACAGAGTTCGCTTGGATATAATGAACAAAATGAATTTACATAAAAAGAAAAAACGAGCGCCATTTAAACAAGGTCAGAGACATTCATTGGCATTTCGTCGATTTGTGTGGAGTAATATTGCTCAATATCGCGAAGAATGCGAATGTCTTCGTTCTTCACAAAATTTATTGCCACTCCCTTCCGCCCGAAACGACCCGACCGACCGATACGGTGAATGTACAACTCACGGTTGTTGGGCAAATCGTAGTTTATCACCATTGATACCTCCTGCACATCTATTCCTCTCGCCAACAGATCCGTGGTGATCAGCACACGACTAAAACACA